CTCTGATGCCTTCTTCTGACCTCCTGGGGCATCTCATGACATGGGTGCACTTACAGACATGAAGGCAATACAATCATACACATAAAATAAAAATAATAAATAAAAAAATTTTTAAATCTATATTCTGCTAAACTAGAAAATCTAAAAGAAATGATGTTCTACATATGTATGACTTCCCAAAATTAAAGCAATATGAATTAGCAATTTATAATGATATGTAACAACAAATGAGACAGAACCAGCAATGTCCCAACAAAAATAACCTCAGGATAGATGGATAGAGCAAAGAATTTTAACAGACTGTCAAAAAAGAACAATACCAATACTCCTCAAATTTATTCTGTAAAAAAAGATCACTTTCCATTTTTTTAATTAATTAATTAATTTATTTATTTTTACACCCACTTCCCAGATAGTACCCTCCCATAACCTCCCTCCCCCCACTAGAGCCCTTGTACTCTGATATCCCTGCTACTGTCTGCTGTGTTGTCAGCACCCCCAGCCATTCCCCACTACTTGCCCTTCTGGTGAACCTCATCAGTCTATCTAGAAGTCTTTGTTTTAGGAGGGTCAGCTGTTCCTCATCTAGAGGTAATCAGTTGTCAACATTCCTTTGGATAAGATTGGAGTCTGCTGTTCACTTTCCCTATTCTGTGCTGGGTTACTATCTGGGAATCCCTTTGGCCACCCTGGCCAACAACTTTCTATTCTTTTAATGGTGCCAGTATTACCCTGCTACTCAAACCAGACAAAGATCCAACAAAGATAGAAAATTATAGGCCAAACTCTCTAATGAACATAGATACAAAAATTCTCAATAAAATACTTGCTGACCAAATTCAAGCACACAGCAAAAACATCATCCACCATGACCAAATCAGTTTCATCCCAGAGATGCAGGGATGATTCAACATAGGTAAAACAATACAGACTTCAAAAACAGATACCACATAATCATCTCATTAGCTGTAGAAGAGGCCTTTAAAAAAAATCCAACATCCCTTCAGGATAAAAGTCATGGAGAATGTGGAGATACTAGGGACCTATCTCAACATAATGAATATAATAGTAAATATACAATAAGTCCATAGCCAACATCTCATATCTGTAAATTGTTGGCCAGTGAGATCCCATAGACCCACCAAACATTACAGGATATTGCCATTGCTCTTGGTTGCCCTCCAGAACTTGATGATCATAAGACCCTACTGCTGAAGACAATATATACTGAAGTCAAATGGGCACTGACTTCAAAGCTTCAACTCTACTAACTAGCTTTCATAATGCTGAAGGTGCTATGCAAGTTACCAGAAAAGAAAAGTAATCATCAACTTTATCCACCCATGAACCCTGAGCACTACAATTACTGCCCTTGCAACATCTGCCTACTAGTGCAATATTAGCATGACTATTTCCATGGTTACAGGAACAACCAACAACCTTCTGATGATTGGTTTTAAGGCATGCTCTACAAGATGGAGCCCACACCTGGCACCATTATCAGAGCAAAGATCCTGTGACGAGGTAGACCATGGCCCTACAGGAGAATCTGCTACTAATATCCTACTAAATGTACATAGTATTAAAAGGACTGCTAACAACTTACTGTTATACCCATAGATTAGTGCATCTCTCAACTGTAATCAGAGAAGCTTTTCTTACAATTGAAGGCATTTAACACAGAGTTAAGGAACTGGTCAACATGCAGAGAATAAAAGACTGCAGAGTGTTCATCCTTAAATGGGACATCTATATCATATTTCTGCCACAAAGATGCAAGGAACTTCTAAGAAGAGGGGTCAGAAAGATTATAAGATCCAGAGGTGCTGAATGACTACAAACAACATTCTCCAGACAGCAGGGAAGTTGTACATATGGACTTAGAGCAATGATGATGGCATGCAGATGACTGCTCAAGCTCAGACCACACAAAATTCTACCACAGAGAGGGTAGGTGGACACAAACTCCCACCCTTAGCTAAGGAGATAGTGGCATTTGATAGCTGCTGGGAGAGGAGAGCCAGTTTTCTTTAAGGATGTGACCCCTGGTAGGTTGACCACAATCCAGGGCAGGCTCCATACCTAAGAGTATTTGAGCAACACATACTGGATTTATTGGGGGAAAAAAAGAACAGGATGTTGGATGAGTAGGAAGGTGTAATAGATCTGGGAAAAGTCAGAGGGAGGAAAATATGATCAAAATGCATTGTATAAAGTTCTCAAAGAATTAAGAAAAATATAAAAAATAGAAATGAAGAGAACTAAGTTTAAGAATGAGCAAAATATCGTGAGCTTGAGTTTTTTTTA